CATAATCAACAAAGCATGGCTAATCAAGGAAACATGGGTGATCAAAGGTCACTAAAGCAACTTGGAGCACCCGAACCATATGCCTCTCAAAGTGGGGTCTTAGCCCCCACCACTCAAGCAAACAATTTCGAGATAAAGCCTAATTTCATTTCAATGATAGAGAAGAGGCAATAAGATTGATGATGTTCCCGTTCTCACTCATGGGAGCGGCGGAACATTGGTTGAACAAGGATGTTACCCCCGGTTCCCTCACAACTTGGAATGAGGTAACTACGGCGTTCCTAGGAAGGTTTTACAATCACAAGAAAACCGCCGAGGCTCGCTCAAAGATTCAAAGTTTCCTCTAAAGAGGTGGAGAGTCTCTTTGTGAGGCATTGGAGAGATTCAAAGAGTAACAAAGGCAATGCCCACACCATGGGATTCCTAATTGGCAAGTTCTGCAAACATTCTATGGAGGACTCTCCCCTCAAAGCAAGACTAGCCTTGATGCTGGAGCCGGAGGCCCAATCATGAACAAAAGGGAAGATGAAGTGGAGAGTATCATAGAAGATGTTGAGCGCAATTATGAGGATTGGTACGAAGGTTAGAGGGAAGCCACTTCTAGCAAAGGAACGGTAAAATCCGTCGAGCAAACTAATGCCATCACAAATCTTTCCAACCAAATGGCAAAGATGGCGAAACAAATGGAGGAGTTCATGAAATCAAGTTCTCAAAATACTTCCTCCCCTTCTCCCAAGGGAGGCCATGGTATGAATCCTTCTACTTCTTCTCCCTCTAATTACAATGCCATGCCTCCCTGTTGTATGTTTTATGATATATGTGGAGGCTATGATCATAATTCTCAACAATGTATGTCCATATATATAGGTCCCCCTCCCCATGAAAATGATGATAATGTCGAAGATGTTAATGCCATGAATTTTGTGCCCCGTAAGGGAAATTCTGGAATGCGGCCAAATTGGAATCAAAACCTAAACCGTGGTTGGAATCAAAACCAAGGTTGGAATCAAAATCAATGGAATAAAAGTGGTGGTGGTTATCATAACCAAGGCTAAGGTAAGGGAAACTCTTCCAATTACAATGGAAGAAGTTACTCAAACCAAAGGCCCAATTGGAATCAAAACCAACATCACTATTCCAACAACCAACAACGTTTTAATTCCAATCAGGGTTCCGGGGGTAATATACCTCAAAATGCTTCTACTTTCTCACAAAATAGTAGACCCCCCGGTTTTGACCAAGTAAGGCCCCATTCTCAAATTCCCCATACTCAACCCCTCCAAATAGAAGCCCCTCCGGATCCTATGATGACTATGCTTCAAAATTTCATTAAAAATCAAGTAAACCATAATAAGAGTCAAGAGGAAGAAAAGAAACAAATCAAGGCACACATGAAAATGCTTGAGACCCAAATCTCTCAAATTTCCCAACCAAGTTCTTCATCCTCCCCTTCTTCATCTTCTTCTTTACCTAGCCAAGGTGTCAACCCCTAGTCTATGTATGCCATTACTACTAGAAGTAGGAAGATCCTTGAGAGTGATTTAAATGTTGAGAAGAGTTCCGATGTGGGGATAGGACTTGAGGTTGAGGATGAGTCACCAAGAGAGAGTGAGATTCTAGAGGGAAGTGCCGGAGGGAATGAGAGGGGTGAGAAAGAGAAAGAGAAGGAACCCGAAAAGGAGAGCACCAAAGATCAAACACCTTTACCCCTTAATCTCCAACCTAGGAATGAGAGGTTGCCTTTTCCCCAAAGATTTGCTAGGTCTAGGCTTGATGTCCAATTTGGAAATTTTTTAGATGTAGTAAAGAGCTTGCATGTTTCTATACCCTTTGTGGATGCTATGAAAAAGATGCCACACTAATCTAAATTCCTAAAAGACCTCCTGAATGGAAGGAGAGAAGTCGAAACCGTTAGCCTAACCGCAAATTGTAGTGCTATTCTCTCTAGTAAGCTACCAACCAAATTACAAGATCCCGGTAGTTTTTCCATCCTTTGTTCTATCAATGAGGTTCATTTGGGGAAGGCTTTGTGTGATCTAGGTGCTAGTGTGAGTTTAATGCCCTTCTTAGTCTACCAAAAGCTTAATGTGGGAAGTATTTCACCTACAAACATCACCCTCCAACTTGCGGATAGGTCCACAAAATTGCCTATAGGGAAAGTAGAGGACATACCCCTTAGAGTTGGTAAGTTCACTTTTCCGGTGGACTTTTATGTTCTTGAGATGGATGAAGATGAAAGAATTCCTATAATCTTGGGTAGGCCATTCCTAGGTACTTCTAAAGCAATTATTGATGTCAAAGAAGGTAAGATGACCTTGAAGGTTGACAATGATTTTATCAAATTTGATTTGAATAAGGTAATGAGACAACCTTCCTCTAGTAATGAATGCTTTAGAATAGATACAATTGAAAACTTGATGAATGAGTTTAGATATCCTCATATGCATGCTTCTAATGATCTACTTGAGAATGTTTTGTTGAATGAGAATGAGGTAGGTGATCAAAAGGAGATGCAATTATATGAAGAAATGCTTGATGAGAAAGAGGAGAAAACCCCCGACCAAGAGATGCTCCAAACATATGAAGTCTTCCAAGTAGAAGAGGAGGAAATCTCCAATGGTGAGGGAGCTCCGAAGGTAGAATTGAAACCTCTACCTTCGGGCTTGAGGTATGTCTTTTTGGATGCTAATGATACTTTTCCGGTCATTGTCAATGCTAACCTCACGGAAGAGCAAACCTCCTCATTGCTTAATGTTCTGAAAAAGCATAAGAAGGCTTTGTGTTATACTCTTGATGATCTTAAGGGTATAAGCCCCTCCCTATGCTTGCATAAAATCGATTTAGAGGAGGGTGCTAGGCCGTGTAGGCAACGGAAAAGGAAACTTAATCCTCCCATGCAAGAGGTCGTGATGAAGGAAGGTTCTAAGCTACTTGAAGCGGGGATCAGCTATCCAATCGTTCATAGTGATTGGGTGTCCCAGGTTCAAGTAGTGCCGAAAAAGGGAGGTATGACGGTAATGGTCAATGATAAGCAACAATTGGTCCCAACTCGGCTTGTTATGGGTTGGCGTATGTGTATTGATTACCGCCAATTGAATGCCAATACTTCCAAAGACCATTTTCCATTACCGTTTATCGACCAAATGCTTGAGAGGCTTACAAAGCATGCCTTTTATTGCTTTCTTGATGGTTATTCGTAATTCTTCCAAATCCCAATTGACCCAAAAGATCAAGAAAAGACCACTTTCACTTGTCCCTACGGTACTTTTTCTTACCGTAGGATGCCTTTTGGTCTTTGTAATGCCCCGGCTACCTTCCAAAGATGCATGATGTCAATTTTTAGTGAAATGATCGAGGAAGAAATGGAAGTTTTTATGGATGACTTTTCCGTTGGTGGAGGCACATATGAGAAGTGCCTAATGAATTTATCTCGTTGTTTAGAAAGGTGTGAGAGTGCTAACTTGGTGCTTAATTGGGAGAAATGCTACTTCATGGTGGAAAATGGCATTGTTCTTAGCCATAAAATCTCCCAAGCGGACATCGAAGTTGATGGTGCGAAGGTTGATGTGATTGAGAAGCTTCCTCCTCCCACAAATGTGAGAGAAGTGAGGTCCTTCCTTGGTCATGCCGGCTTTTACCGCCGCTTCATCAAAGATTTCTCTCTGATTGCTAAGCCTCTCACATCTCTCTTGCAACAGGATAAAGAATTTGTATTTGATGAAGCTTGTCATGAGTCATTTTGTAGGTTGAAAAAGGCTCTTTGCACCGCCCCCATAGTCCAAGGACCGGATTGGTCTTTACCATTCGAGCTAATGTGTGATGCAAGCGACGAAGCCATTGGATCGGTTCTAGGACAAAGAAAGGATGGGAAACTTCACGTTATATACTATTTGTCCAAGACTCTCAATGATTCTCAACGGAATTATACAACCACCGAAAAAGATTTCTTGGAAGTTATTCATTCATTTGAGAAGTTTAGAACCTACCTCATTGGTTCTAGGACGATAGTGTATACCGATCACTCGGCTCTAAAATATTTGATAAGCAGGAAGGAGGCCAAACCGAGGTTGTTGAGATGGGTCTTGGTCCTTCAAGACTTTGATTACGAAATGAGAGATAAGAAGGGAGCCGAGAACGTGGTGGCGGACCACCTTTCTAGGTTGGGAGGTGCAAGAATACATGAAGACGGTTTGCCAATTGAAGATGCCCTAATGGATGATGTCTTATATGCTCTTGAGGCAAAATCAGAGCCTTGGTATGCGGATATTGTGAGCTACTTGGCTTGTAGTGCCATACCTCCGAATTTCACTCCTCAACAACATCGAAGGCTCAAGCATGAAGCAAAGAAGTATATATGGGATGACCCCATGTTGTTGAAGAGAGGGGTAGATGGACTTCTGAGAAGATGTGTTCCTAATGAAGTGTTCCAAGATGTGCTCTCAATGTGCCACTCATCCCCTTGTGGTGGTCATATGAGTGCTCAAAAGACCGCTTCCAAGGTTTTGCAATGCATGCTCTTTTGGCCATCTCTATTCAAAGATGCTTGGCAATTTGTTAAGACTTGTGATAGGTGCCAAAGGATGGGGAACATATCAAGGCGTGATGAGATGCCCCAAAATCCGATTCTTGAGCTAGAAATTTTTTATGTTTGGGCAATTGACTTCATGGGCCCCTTCATCTCATCCCAAGGAAACCAACACATTCTAGTTGTCGTTGATTATGTTTCCATGTGGGCGGAAGCCGTGGCATCTCCCACCAATGACTCAAAGGTGGTCATCAATTTGTTCAAGAAAGTCATCTTCCCAAGATTCGGTGTTTCTAAGGCAATCATAAGTGATGGAGGTTCACACTTCAAGCACCATACATTCAACAAGCTTCTTTCATAGTATGGTGTATCGCACAAGCGAGGCCTTGCTTACCACCCCCAAACAAGTGGTCAAGCGGTGGTCACAAATAGGGAGTTGAAATTCATCTTGGAGAAGACCGTTGCTAGAACAAGGATGGATTGGTCTAGTAAGCTCATTGATTCATTGTGGGCATATAGGACCGCCTTCAAGACTCCTATAGGGACTACCCCCTATAAGCTTGTTTATGGGAAGAATTGCCATTTACCCGTAGAAATGGAGCACCGAACGCATTGGGCAGTCAAGGAAATCAACTTTGATCTCCATAGTGCGGGTGAGAAAAGACTTCTAGAGCTTCATGAGTTGGAAGAGTTGAGAATGAACACCTATGATAGTGCAAGCCTCTACAAATTAAGAACCAAGGCATGGCACGACGCTCAAATTTCCAAGAAGGAATTTGTGGAAGGACAAAAGGTCCTACTCTACAATTCAAGACTCAAGCTCTTCCCCGGGAAATTGAGGTCTAGATGGAGCTGTCCATTTCAAGTATCCAAAGTCTTTCCTTATGGCTCAGTTGAGGTATTAAATGACAAGTACCCTCCATTCAAAGTGAATGGGAACCGTCTTAAGCCATACTATGAGGGTCAACTAATCGAGAAGCCGGAAAATTTATCGCTCATTGATGTTTTCAAATCACCATGATTCTTTTGTGAAGGGCATCAAGCTAATGACGTTAAAGAAGCGCTTACGGGAGGCAGCCCGGTTTCTAACTTTTTATTTATTTATTTTATTTCCCTTGCCACACTTGAACTAATCTACCTAACACTTTTCTTAATCAATTGTGATGTACTTGTGATTGTGTATGTCCTTAGGAAAGAGAGATAAGAGTTGAAGCAAAATGAGAAAAAAAAAATTAAATTTTTGAGGAGTTGTGGTCGAATAAAGACCAAAGACAGAGAGCCAGCGCAATTTGGACGCGGTAGAGGAGCGAGCGCGAGTAGAGAAAGGCACGGGCGCGCATCAAATAGGTGCGGGCGCTCCAGTTCTTGGGTCACAAATTGCCTTCATTCCAGAACATAGGAGCGATTTTGTCGCGCCATAGGAGCGGTTCGCGTCATCAAAGGAGCGCGGGCGCGCCAGACTCTGTCGCGGGCGCGCTATCTGCTTGATCTAAAAGGTCTCCGATATCAGAAAGAAGGAGCGATTTTGTCGCGACTAAAGAGCGGCCCGCAATATCAAAGAGGCGCGGGCGCGTCAACATTTTGGTCTAAATTCTAGGGAGTTAGAGCGATTTTGTCGCGATTTAGGAGCGGTCCGCGTATACACTGAGGCGCGGGCGCGCCTGTATTTGTAGCGGGCAAGCCTTTCTGGGTTTCAGAAAAAAATTACGGCTTCGTCTCTTAATTCCTCACAAACTCCCTCAACCCTCACAAACATAACCCACCTCCCTCATTACCTTTATCTCTCTTCGCGGCCGCTCTTCACCACCCATACTCAATATCCGTTGCCACCATCTTCTACCATCCCCATAAATCAATCATCCTCAAAGCTTCAATCATTCATCATCATCACCGTTTCTTCATCACCAAAGAAAGCAAATAGGCATCCTCAACACCAACTGCAACGAACTTCTTTGCTACTCAAAATCTTCAACAATTCGACACCAAAGCAGCAATTTATTCGCATAAAGGCAAAGGTATTCAAATTCCTTCGTTAATTATTCTCTTTTAATTAATTTTAAAGCAAGGATTTTGGTTATCTTAGGTTATTATCGAGATTTCATTAATTATTGCTGAAAATATTGCTGGATTCTGTTGAAATTGTTGTTGGATATATTCGTTGTGTTAGTTGGATTATTATTGCTTGTAGACAGGTACATTGTGGTTTTGTGGAGGTTAAGGGTGGAAATAGCTAGGAGTTGGCTTTGAAAAAGGAGTGAAAAAAGAAAAAAAAAGAAAAAAAAATAGAGAGGTGGGTAGTCATGAGTCTAAGGATTGGGAAGAAGAGAAAAACTGCAAAGTGGGGAAAATCGTCCCAAAACACAGAGTCGGACCAATCCAATGTCTTACCCACCTTAAAATTCTTAAACAAAAGCCACTCCTCCATATACTCTGACATGAAAAAACGAAAGTTGTGACCTTTTAGGCACTACCATCGTGGAGACATGATAAAACTTGGGATAAATGACGATTTGTGGATTCTTTTTTACAACCTTCAACTAGGGTCATTCGTAAACTCTTCATTCATGACCTACCAAGAACCCACCTTAGATTTTTTCTCGTCTTTTCAAGTTGACACACTAGAAGACAACGACTTTCAGATATCTTTCCAACTCTTCAACAACCCCCACACCATGTCACTGGCACAGTTTAACCAAGCCCTGGACTTTCACTCAGATGCAGACCTCCTCTACCCGCTTTATGAGAACTTTAGGGAGTTTAGTGAGTACGCTTGGTGGCGTTCCGTTTCAGGTAAAGATGAGTTTCATACCAGGACTTCCATAACCAGTGAGATTTGGCACCCTGTCCTTAGGATCCTACACCGTTTATTAGGGTATTCTATCATTAGTAAATAGGACCTAGAAAAAATGACTAAGGAAGAGGTCCTTTGCCTGTGGGTAGCCACAAAAGGAGAGCATGCACGGAGGTTGAATTTGGGATTCCTCTTTATGCAAACTTTCCAAGCCATAGCAAAGGGAAAAAATCCAGGGGAGATACATTGCAGGGCGATGGTCACTAGATTGGCCACCAAGTTAGGTTACACTGACCTTCTACCTCTACGCACGGCCGTAGGTAGTAGTGGGGATATTTACCTTGGACCAGCTTTGCTGCTCTGATTTTATTACTCCCATGGAAAACCCCAATGCTTTTAGGTGGCTAGTTAGAGGAGCCCACCATTGTTTCCTCCCTAAGCCTCACTTCACCTCCCTCACGCATCAGTCCTCTAATGTGTGGAGAGTTTTGAGAGATAGCGGGCGAGTGCCTGATGTTGATGGGGACAATGATGTTGGGATAGGTAATGAGGAGGAGGTTCAGGAGCAGCAGTAGCAGCCGGTTACCCAGCAACCCATAGGTACAGGTACATTTCAGCTATCTGACATAGCTAGACAGTTGCAAGTGATTTATGAGTCACAGTAAGGCCACCATCTACAACAGCAGGCCCTCTATGACTCAGCTGTGGGTAGAGGAGAGATTGCTCCAACCGTGAACTACCCCAATTGGCCGCCTCAGCACGGCCCTGTTCCTTCTTAGGGGGAGGGGGGACAATCTCCCCACTTACCCCTACTGGCAAGGTCCTTCTGAGCCTGGTAGGGAGCTCCGCAACTTCCTAGAGGACGGGCAGTACGATTATCGTGTGCCCGGCGGGTGTGACTTTAGAGGGGACCCTGCTTACCCCTATGTGCATCCTGATCACCCCGCCCCCCTGTATTCCCAGTCTGAGGACGCTCTCTCTGATCCTTTGCCTAGTTAGCAAGAGGATCTTTACAGAGGTCACTATGGTTGGCCGCCGGGCTTTGACGGTGGTTGGGGCCTTTTCGGCCCCCCTAGTGGCTTCACTTATGACGAGCCGCCACGTCGGCCTAGCTCACCTAGTGAGCCCAGCTCTAGTGGCTAGTAGGCTACGTCCCTTGAGTATATCTCTCTCCCCTGCTTTTGTATGCTTATTTTGATGAGTAGGAGATATACTCTTGGTAGGGAGTGACTTGGCTGGGATTCTTACTTGCTTGCCTACCGGTCTTTAATTGTTTTACTTGTACCTTTATGTTTTTGATTCTGCTGAGTTGCATGACTGTTTTTTTTTTGTTGATTTTGCCCCTGTTCACTGATATTGTTGATGAGTTTTTGATATGGTTTTGTTGATGATGTTGTTTTAGGGACGCTTCTCTCGGTTTGATGGATACCGGTGAGTCCGCCCCCCCGTTTTTCCTGTTGATGATGATGATTACTGGTATTCGCCGACATGGCGATTGACCAGTGCAGGTGTGTATATATGGTTCGATGATTTTTGAGGTAATGTTGATTTTGGAGGAGATCTAGAAATTTTGTCAAGGGTAGATTAGTTTATAGTGAAGCAAAAATAAAAGTTTACAAAAAAAAAAAAAACAGCCGAATGATAGTTGCATTTTATTTCTTTTTTTCATTTTTCATTTTTCATTTTTCAACCTTCATTAAGGCTAACCCTTTTGTGTATATAATTTTTTTTTCTCTTTATTTGGATACTCACCCCTTTTAGGATGCATGCTTTCACTTCGGATATGCTCACTTGGGCGTCATTTCGGTAAGATCTTTCTTTTTCTTTTTTTTTCTTTCCTTCACTCTATTTTTCGTTGGTGTGCTCTAGGATAGTTGTAGTTTAACGGAAGTTGAATGGTTCGAGGATGTTTGCTATTAACACTTAGTGTGTTCCTGCATTTTGAATGTCTTTATTCCTAAGGATTAAGAGTTTCCGCATTCTTGGATTGCCATTGGTTGACTCTAAGATATGTCTATGCTAAGGTATTTGTGCTAGAACTCGTAAGGCCCACTGAACCCAAATTCGCTTGTTTGTGGTAAGAAGGTGTTGCCCTCATTGGGAGATTTGAAGCCCTAAAGGTAGTTTTTGTAACCCGAGGTGAGTTTTACTGTTCAAGCCTCCAACACTTATTGTATGAGCGGCATAGAATCCTTACCAAGGCATGCTTAGATCGAGAACTTGATGTCTAGCTACCCGAGATCGCGACCAATCTAAATCTAGGGAGGACAAATGCATTTTCTTCGGTGACTATTTTTCTTTTCTAGGTTTAGCTTTTCTTTTGTTGCTTCCTTGTAATTTCATTTGCATATCCCCCTTTCTAGCCATGTTGAGCCTACACCTCCTTGAATGTGAAAGGAATTGTGTCTTTCCAACAAGTGTATTCATCCGATAGAGAATTTAGAATTATTACAGAGCTAATTCTTCAGTAAGTTCAAGTGATCGGAATGCCTAGGTGGAGGCCGCTTCTGATCAGTAATTTCGAGGTACAATTGATATTACAGCTTGATCTTAACTGAACCCTTCGGGTCGAACCCAATCAAATCACCGATCCGAGTCGACAGAGTTATACGAATACAGACGTCGGAAATCGAGCCTAGGGCGTCGAGACCGAGCGTCGCAAAATCACAAGCAACAAGTATGAGCGTAGCCGTAGCTAGGCTAGGCTAGCTCGTCGCAAGCCTTGGTGCACCATGTGTGTGCTAGGCGGGACCATGGTGTGCTAGGCACTATCGCAGCCTAGGCGCGGCCTGGCAGCCTATCGCAAGCAATAGGCGCACCTAGCAAGCCATCGCAAGCACCAGGCGCACCAGGGGCACCTAGCAACCCATCGCAAGCACCAGGCGCACCATCGCAGGAACTGGGTGCTGCGTGCGTGGGTGCCTGACATGGCAGCACCATCGCTGGCACCATGTGCTAGCATGGGTGCCTGGCTCGCATTGACGCACCATGTGTGTGCTTGTTTGTGTGCTAGCCTTCGCATGGAAATACCAAGCATCGCACTATATGCGAGGGCCTGGGCGCCTGCATAGTGCTAGGCCACGCACAGCAGCCCAGCATCACCACGCACCAAGACTGCTGTGTGATGCATGGGCGTGCGTGTGGTGCGAGGCCAATGCACGTTGCGCATCATGCGTGGCCAGTGCGAGAGGTGTTGCGAAGGGTTGTGCATGGTGTGCGAAGCTAAGGGG